AGAACTTACTCCTTGCCCTTCCCTCTCATGTTTCAGGGCCATTGGACTAGAATAACGGAGCCAGTAGGAGGCAGGCTTTCTTATAAACCCCCAATCTATGACATCAATGCACCAGACCTATATATTCCATTTATGGCATTTGGTACCTATGTGGTTCTGGCTGGCTTCTCATTGGGTCTTCAAGGAAAGTAAGTTGATGAAATTTCTACATGTACTCTAAGCGGTTTTCTCTTTTGTTCGGGTTGTGCTGTATTGGAAATCATTTGATATAAGAATGAAGATTGGGTTTTCTTTTAACTGTAGAAGTGAGCTATGCATCCTTTTCTTTTGCAGTTATTTCCTCGTTTTCCAATTCTGTGTCCTACTATTAGTTTTCTACTTTCGTCTCCCTGTTTGGGAAAAAAAGGTTCTATTTAGGACAAATATATTTGGTCCTTTTGTTTGTATAGGCTAGCCATTTAGCTTTTCTCTTGTTGAGGATCTTCCTTCATCTCAGAATTATATCCATGCCAGCTGTTACTATAATGATAACGATAGTAAATAGGTTAGGTCAAGACTGAAATGTGAAGCTCTAAACACATTGTCTTTTAGTTTTGTAACCCTAAACCCTGATTTCTAGATTATGCCTGTGACTTGTAAGTTGGAGTATTACATATGACCAAAAAGTATGCTGCAGATGAGACCACTCTTTTAGCTGGCCATACTGTTCTTAGGGCTGGTTTGGTATTGTTGTGATTTGAAAAAAACTGCTTTTGCTGTGCTGTGGGAATAAGCTCATTTTTGCTGCTTCACGTTTTCAGCTTTTTTTTTTCACCCAAAACTATGAAAATAAGCTGTTTTTAATTGTTTACCAAACACCATTTTGAGCTCAGTTTTTTTTTTATACCCACTTTTTATAAAAGCACCTCAGTACCAAACCAGTACCAAACCAGTACTTATACTGGTTAATCTGTGGCCAACTTTAGCTGTTGTGTTAGAGAAAGCAGGACCCCTCTCGATTCTTTAGTTTCCTGTTTCCTTCGTCTTTCTTTTTCATTTTCTTACTGTAGCAAAAGAAATATCTTTCACTTGGACATCAATGTGAAACAATTAGCTATTGGATCTTTTCTCAACCTCAAAATATAATCACTGTCATTTTTTTTAATTGTTGATTGGTCGCTCCCTCAGCTCTTCATGAACTGCATCACGGTTCCATTTTGAGATTTTCTTTAAGGGGTGTGGTTTTTGTTTTGTATTTAATATTTATGATTTTGGTAATTCAGTCTGTTAATGTCAGAGACTTGTATATCTCTTGGCACTTGTGATATCTTAAAATTGTTTTTGTTAATTTCCTACCAGGTTTAGCCCTGAAGCTCTAAACTGGTTGTTTATCAAGGGCTTGCTTGGCTGGTTATGCAAGTTGCACTACTGAAAGTATCATTGCTTTCATTGGGCGGTGGTGAGGCACCGTTGCTGGACATGGTGGCATATGCTGGGTATGCTTTCACGGGGTTGTGCTTTGCTGTACTTGGACGGATTATGTTGAGCTACTCATACTACTTTTTGATGCCTTGGACGTGTTTATGCATGGGAGTCTTCTTGGTGAAGACAATGAAGAGAGTTCTATTCGCCGAGGTGAGGAGTTATGATTCAAGCAAGAACCATTACCTGTTGCTGTTTATTGCTTTGGCTCAGTTACCTCTGTTTACATGGCTTGGCAACGTTACTGTTAATTGGCTCATATAAGACAGCTTATTTTGTACGAGTTAGCACCATTTCTTGTTTATAGAATTTCCCGAAATCTTGTATACAGTTTCTTTGTATTAATTTCGGGCCACGACTTTTGCTCCCTGATTTAAGAATTGTTGGAAATTTCTTTTGAGTGTTTTTAGTGCTGGGATTATCAAGTAATTGTAATCAAAAGCAGTAATCTGACTTGAAAATTTGTCACCGAAAATTTATTATTTGGCTTTTTGAAAGGGGAGATCCTATAGGATCCTATCCAAAATTTTCTTTTGCTAGGATCACTAAGGCCGATTTTTGTACTTGCTCGACAGGGTGGGTCTTGCAATCAAGCTCCCTTCTGCCTTTGCACTCGAGGGCCAAACATAGAGTTATTACGCATAAGTGCTAGTGTAGGACAATCCACTTATAGAATCTGATGTTACACTGTTGCTCAATACCTTAGAGGATCAACTCTATCACATTAGTGGATTTACCCAAAACTCCCATTAATAAAAAAAAGGGAAATTCTTGCAATGTACAAAAGCTGAATACAAACGTTTCTTTCCCCCCACATGAATAAGAAGTAGATAAACTGGAGGGCGGTAGGTTATAGAAAAGAAAAAATGGAAAAGAATGATAAATAAATAAAGGAATTATTGATTGTATCGGGAATCAAATTTTGAGTTCAGTATGGATAAAAGATCGTCCTATGTTATACTATTCAATTCTTGACGATGAATCGATTTGATAACTTCGATATTGTTATTCATGATATTGATCCGATTGAAAAAATTGAAACCATTCTTATTGGTTTATCATGATACTTCCCAAAAATCTACTTGGGATCCTATGAACAAAGACATGGTCTCTTTGGATCCCATCAAATTTCATTCGGAGGAGGAACCTTATAAAGATCGTATTGATTCTTATAAAAAAAAATATAGGATTAATTGAGGCTGTTCAAACAGGTATATGTCAACTAAATGGTATTCCCTTAGCAAGGAAAATAATAGAAGAAGCATTTGACTCCTTCATGCATGCTCCACTTGGCTTGGGGGGATATAGCTCAGTTCTTAGAGCCCTTTGTTGTTCAAAATGAATGGTTTCGTTTTTGTAATTTTCTAATTGTTCCAAAGTCTTATAAGTGGAATTAATCAAATTCATTTTTTCTCCTTCTATTTCAGAATATCCATTCATTCAAAGCTGATCGGCTTACGCAAAAAGGAAGAGACTTATAGAATGGCAGAGGCAGATAGAGCTTTTGCACATTGTCGTTAATCCGTGAACAGGATCTATATAGACACATAGACCCATGGATCCAACCTATTCTTGAAATAAACAAGTCGCACACACTCCCTTTCCAAAAAAAAAAAGAAAAAATCAACACACCAAGCACTACACTTAGGAAGTTATGCAAGGGCATCCCATATTACTGAATAGGGTGCCTACGCTGCATGGATTAGGCATACAGAAACCATACAATCAATCGAAGGGGTGGATTCAACCCAAACAAAAAAGAAAGATTTCTTTTAAACAAGGAATTAAGGAACCGTTGGGCATAAAGGGGGAGGTCATAAGTGTCTATACCGTAAAATTGATTTTCAAACACACATGTCTATTTCACCGAGCCTCTCTCCGAGGCAGTGCCCAGATCATTACTACAGGAATCGCTTTTGCTTTCTTTTCCTTTGGCTACTAAGATGTTTCAGTTCGCCTGCCCATAGATTAAGCAGCAGTTCGAAAGGTTAACCTATTCAGGAATCTCGGGATCTACACTTATTTTCAACTCCCCATCATCCATACATAACAAATTGGTGTGGTATATTCATATCATAACATATGAACAGTAAGAAACTAGCATTCTTATTGAGACTAGAAAGAATAAAAAATCCGAAAGCTCTTCTTTGTGGTTATAATGCCAAAAAATCAAGTCGGCTCATTTGTCTAGGAAAAGCATTTTGTTTCTATCAATCTAAAACAATTTGTTGATGTCTCTAGTAAACCAAAGACATTGTTTAATAGCCATTTTGCTTCAACTTCCGTAATACAAATTCCAAATTAAAGATTTAGTTACGATTAGAAAGCCACTTTCTATCTTTATCCATAGATCCTTTACTCATACTTATTCATGGATAGATCACCCAGGTTTGGATCCATAAGCAGTGACAATTGCCCTATGAAGCAGGGCCGGCCCAGGCCCAGTGCGGGCAGGGCGACCATCCAGGGCCCAAAAAAATTAGGGACACCAAAATTATTAGTGTGGTATATTTATATATGTTTTCATAAGAGTAAAAATTTATAAAATTTGGTTTAATGACAAGGAAATTTAACTAGAACTGGTGATTTTGTTGTTTGAAATTAATGATGAGGTATTGGGTTCAAAACACCATGTGTGCTTATTTAAATTCCAATTTTTACAAATTTCTTTTCATAATAGTATAAATTTATAAAATTTGGCTAAATGATCAAAAGTTTAATTAGAAGCAATGATTTTTGTATTTAAAATTAACGAGAAGTCCTAAGTTCGAAATGTTGTGTGCATGTTTTTTTTTTTTTTTTCAATTCAAGTCTAATAGTAACTATGCGGGTTCCTATTTTTAAACATTTGTTCCAATTCAAGTCTAATTTTTAACAAGGGGTAATGCGTAGACTAAATTTTTAGACCAAATTTGCAAATCATATGACGTGTCATCAAAAGGTTTAATTTGGTGTCCATTTATTACTTATACATATCCTTAAAGACTCGAAAATATCATTATTTTTTTAGTCTTATATTGACGAGGTTGGTAAATAAGAAAAAACACCTCACGATTTATACAAAAACACTTTAAAAGTTCAGATGGAAGATAAAACTCATAATCTATCTAATTGTAAGCTTGAAGTTTTTTGGTTTTCGATACAAAATAAATTAGTTTTTCCGTGTTTTTAAATTACTGAGTTTGAAGTCCCTTTCTAAATAAATAGTTTTTTTTTATATGAAGTGAGGGCACATTTTTTGGTGTCGCCCCGGGCCTCAAAAATCTCTAGACCGGCCCTGCTATGAAGACTACCTCGAGCACACGCAATGGAGCCGTTGATAGTCAAGTGAACTCCAATTGGAAGTTAACCCTTGTCTGTCCTTGTTGGGCGAGGAAAGAAATATGTCTGACTAGAAAGGAATGAAATTTCGTGAACTTCACGTGAAAGGGTTAATCGAATGAAGAAATTTTTAATTGTGACGGAAACACGAGTGGTATACCACATGTTTTTATGTAAGTGGTGGGAAATGAAGTACAATAACAGGCATGTCCCTATGGATTGTCTTATCGCCAAGTAGGCGAAATTACATGCTTTGATGTATCAAATAAAACGGTAAATCCCGAAAATGCTTTATACGTTCTTATATAAATACATAAATACGTACAGGTAGGTACTTAGTATGAACATGTATATAATTCAACTATCAACTAATACCATGAAGTTGATACATGTCTAAAATCAGCCAAGATCAGGGACGGTAAAGTGATCATCGTCGTCCTCCAACATTTCGATCCTAGGCTTCTTGTACGGATTGTTCAATTTAGCGGGTCTATACGAGGTGAAATTAGTTGATTGTGACACCAGAAGCTTAGGAACTTCAGCTACTGCTGCCATGGCTTTTTGAGGAAACTGCTCTTCGCCGAAAACACCCATGTCTGCTATCCATTCAAGTTCACCAAACTCGAACGACTCTTTCTGATGAAAGAAAATGCAAATGACATCTCTGTTAGAATGTGAGCATCCTTACGCGTGGGCGCTTTTTGCGCGTGTACAACTAGATAACAAGCAAATACACAGAGGGATATTTCTAACCTTGTCGGAAGATTCAAAATCTGATAACTGCAGCAAGTCATCAACACCCCAAGGGGATGAGATACCAGAAGCCTGTGGTGTTGGAATTTTTGTTGAAACGATCTTGTGTGAGCTGTGACTACTGGGTGGCTCCAAGCTACTCGGTTCAGTGTCATTAGAACAGCCGGTGCTCAATGCCACTCGGATTCCAGTGGCGAGGAACCTCTGGTGGTTCGCAGAGCGGCTATTTGCCGAATGAATCAATTCATCGCAATCCTGACAAACGAGGGCTCTGTCTTCGACGCAGAATATAAAAGCTGCCTTGTCCTGGGAATCACAAGATGTTTGTGAGAGAGAAACAAAGAAACAAAGCGAGACTGAAATTTGAGGCACTGTAAGAGAACTTGTCAAACTTATGAGATCATTTAGTGACGTTAATTAACACAGATATTGAAACCTCACTCGCATATCCGATGCTAGCTACAACTATAACATAGTATCAGAGCGCACAATTCATTCACGCCAGACTCAACTTCAAATCATGCGTTCAACGTCACTCAATATAATTTATCTACATTGGACATCTCAGTATACTAATTAAATCTTGACACTGACACCCAGTACTTGTGCCTCTCTATTGATTTTTTAACTTGGTTTTGGGTAAGATTTGCTTTTGAAGAACCTAATCTGAGACTACTAGCACTACTACAATTTTTTTTAATTAATTTTTTTGTTACAAACCATGAGGTAATTTACGATAAATTTATATAAACTAAAGAAAAAAGGATTCGGACTTGAATGTAAAGGATAAAGCACATTGCTTTAACCAATTTAACTCCGGAGGCAGATTGTTTGTCCTCCTGTTATGGTGCCCTTCCCATCCTCTCATATTTGTGTGGTCACGGTTAAGCCACGTCAACATTTTATATTGATTTTTTTATAGAGATAATAAGACAAAAAACAATAGGAATATAAAATGCTGACGTGACTTAATCGTGACCGCACAAATAGGAGGGGATGGGAAGGGCACCATAACAGGAGGGCAGACAATCTGCCTCCTTTAACTCCACCCTATATTAGTGAAAATTATTACAATTGAGCACATAGAAACAATATATTTACCTGAATGAAAGAATTTGGAAAGGTAAACAAAATCCAACAGAAAAGGAAAATTCCTAATTGGAAGTTGGAATATGCTTACTCAATATACATGCTACTTACATACATACATAAGAAAAGAAAGTGGGGAATTAAGTGAAAGAAAAAAATTACTTGGCATATATCACATGTAGGGAGTTTGTTTGACTTTGAGAGGCACTCAAGGAGAAGCCTCTGGTTCTTGCTTGCAAGCTTATTCGCTGCATGTACTTCCACGTCACATTTGGCGCACAGCGCTGCCTCGTCGGCACAACAAATCACCTTCGCCGGAGCCTTCTCGCACGCATCACACTGAATTTTCATCTCCAATATATTAATCCTCCTCCTCCTCCTTTTCTCCACTTGAATATTTCAGAAAACCTCCTAAAACCCTCACCGAAGATTAATGGAGAAGAACAAAAAAAGTCAAATTATTGGATTGGAACGGGGACCTCCAGGTTATGTCTTGTGGCTGTAGAGACACTGGAGTGTCTGCATGGTTAGCAATGCGTGCATGATCTAGTTGCTACCAATATTTCTGACTGTTTAATTTTTTTTAATTTTTTTTAATTTTTTTATATAGCTTTGTAACGGTTTTAAAATGGTAACTGGTCACCAACTTGATTAATACCCAAGCGTTTGAAAATTAAGAAATGACATCTAGGTCTGTCTAGACGCCAGGCTAGACCCGTCAAGCCGCAACTCTCATTTAAACAGAAAATAGATAATTTTTATTTTTCATTTTATTTATTCAAGAAAAAGCGAGTTATGTAATACTTGGATAAACACTCATTATATGTTTGTTCTTTATGTTTTTAATATGTTCTAATACTTTATAATCTACATGGCATTCTATTTTGTAATTTATGTTTTCCAATATAATTATGTATTTGTTTAGTATAAGTAGACTTTTATTTATTTGTTATATAACAAATTTTATTAAAATTAAAACAAGGGGCACAAGCTCCCACTTAAACGCCTAAGCATCCATGCTCGCTGCCCGACCAACACTTAGCGTCTTTTAGAACTATTATTGCATTAATTCGTATGATTTAGCTAAAGCGGTGTTAACTATTAGATATGATATATCTTTGTTTATATGTCTCCACGATGGAAAGATAAACGCGAATGGGACACTGTATCTTTCTTGGTGCAAATGGGGAAGAGATCATCTCTGGATCTCTCTCATCAAAACCACACAATCAATTAATCCGAACCCTTGAAATATGATCTAACGGCTAAAATTATTATAACTTGACCCTCTGTTTATAGTCATTTGATCAAATTTCAAGGGCCCAGATTAATTGATTGCGTGGCTTTGGTGGGAGAGATCCGGAGATGATCTCTTCATGTGCAAGTGTAGATATGATATCACATAATTTACAAGAAAAATAAGACCAACTAATGATTTTGCTTTTGCATCTTTATATGTAGTTTAAATTGTCGCGATGTAATTGTTTGTCTTTGAGGATAAATTTTTCATTATTATCCAAATACGGGTGGTACACCATGTGTTTTTATACAAGTGATGAGAAATTTTATTTTTTAAATTATTAAATTTTTAACACACATATCCCATCATTTGTATAATGACACGTGATGTACCACTCCGTGTTCTAATCATACTGAAAAATCTCTCGTGTTTGAGTGTCAATTCTATTATACTTGCTTGTATTTATAGGGCTTATAAACGGATGAGGATTCTCTCCAGATCCTTTTTGTGAGGATTCTAGGGATCCTCACATCATGACCGTTCATCCTATATCGTGTGGTCAGTTTTCGTTAGATACTATTTATGTTAATTTTAAATAAATTCAAAATGATTTTTGACTGCACGATGTATGATAAACAAATAGGATATGAGTATCCTTATAATCTCAAAGGATGGCCTATGATTTGGTTGAGCACGAAGCTCTGTTCGTCTGTGCGTCTGTGTCCAGTAACACATTCAAGCAACAAGTGAATGAAGAGGAAACCCATACCTGAAATCTCAAAGGATGGCCTGTGATTTGCCTGAGCGCGAAGCTTTGTTTTTTTGTGTCGCAAGGAAGAGGAGAGAACCAGAAAAGCCAAGCTTTGTTCTTCTTTGTGTTGCAAGGAAGATGAAAGGACCCCAAAAAAAAGGGAAAAGGGAAAAGTAAAAAAGAGAAGGAAAAAATGGGACAAAAAAAAGATTTTTTGAGATATTTAATCTCAACCACCCAATTTTATTAAAGTCAATCCAATGGTTTAGAGAGTGTTCCTCATTTAAAAAAAAAAATAGGGATCCCTTCCCTTAAAGGGACTCTGTGTGTGTGTGTGTGTGTGTGTATATATATTCTGAATGGAATTAATTAAGAAACTTGAGAGGTCGAACAAGGAATTAGACATTTATCCTTCCCTTACTCGAGTCTATTTCCTTTGCTTTATTCTATTGCTAATTTGTCCGGGTATACGTGTTGAGAATAAATTCTATATTGATGGATAGAGAGATCTTGCATGTGTTTACGAATTAACATTAGAATATGTTGGAGTCTTCTTCAATTTTCTTTTTTGGATGAATCCAGGGTATCCCCCGCACGTAGGCGAGGACTAATCCCTCGAGCCGGGTTGGACCCCATTCGGGGGGCAAGCTCTCCCAATGTTGGTGGGAGCGAATCGATGTTCTTGGACTCGTTCCCACTAAGGAATTCGTGTGGATCGTTAGAACAATTCTTGGCGATTGTTCTATTGACGACCTTCTTGCTTACTCCAACGACGAAGTCAAGTTCCCTAACCATCGACAATCAGCTTCACACCAAATTCTTTGAGCATTGACTTCGTTTACATTTAATACTTCCTTGGGAGACTCTTCGGTAGCAAATGTTATTCTTATCAATTTCCAAAAAGGGGTTGTGACGATTAAAAATTGAAATTCCTCACAAGAGTTGTGAAATTGCGAAGTATCATTGGTTTTGTACTCTAGTTTTGATGAACTTGTTTTGACTCTCAAATTCTTGAGTGTTCTTTTAGACTTCTCGACATGGTTTCTCGCTTAATCAATGAGGAATTCATGATTGATCGATTCAGTGGAAGTGTGTGCCTAGTTCATATCATTTCGAACATGAATGTTTGGAGCATAACCTTCTCGCGAGCTTACTAGGCTTACCAGGAAAAGTTTCATGTGAGTGTGAGGTTTGAACCGTTTGTTAGTAAGACATTGATGAAGGTTGTAGTGCAGGTGGTCAGTGGATGACATCATCATTCACTATTTTCATGCAGAAATGAATAGTCACATCTTATTATCTTGCTACAATTTATAAACATCACATCGAACTTTAGTAGTCCCTTCCCAAGACCTTGGAGGACATGTTATGTTCACTCGTCTTGTAGCTTTAACACATTTAGAATTTTCACTCCTCCTAAAAGGTGTGTACTCTCATGGGGTTTTTAGGTTGATCACTTGCGAGTCTTTCTTTCCACCAACATTGACCATTTTTTGACTAGAAATCAGCAACTAAGCATAAATGGAAAGGTGTATTGAACACTACAACAACTCCCTAGAGATACGGCTTATTGGGGAAGGTGACTTCTCATTTTTTTACTTGCTTGGCTCGGGCTTTTGGGTATACTAGTAACATGGTAGCCGCTTCTCTTGAATCCCAAGGTACAGTCTTCAATGGGTTCTTTGTTAGAAAAACACTGGTTGACAAAGGAGTTTTGCAAACTTGTATTCGGAGGATTGAATTTATGACGTGTGAAATTGTGTACCCTCAGGAAATCACTGCTTGATTATCGAGACAACAATGTGTGATAGATATCGTGGGCGGCTGACTATAATATCGATAGCTTATTCATTTGGTTCGTTAAGCAAGTGGGCAAGTAGATCCTTCTACGGCAGTTGTTACAGATTTGTTATTGTTGGGGCTCGACCCAAAGACAACTTTTCTCGTAGTATGTAACGTTACATATGTTTGGGTGAGACCCACTTTCATTATTTGTTTTGACTTTCAATACGAGTTTTCGACCTATATGTTAGTACATATCTATTTTGACGTTATTGTATTATACTTACATATTTTTGACCTTACGTTATTATATGTTTTCGACTTTATATCCTTATAAAGTATGTTTCTACTTTTACACTGATGGAGGAAGAAGGTATGAGCCTGGAGGCATGAAAAGATGGAATCATTGCAACCCGATCGCGACGGTGAGGCATTTTCCTTTTCGTGCAACCGCTCTGACTTGATTTCTTCATTACACATATATTATTCTTCTTCCTATTTTTGAGTATTTTAGTGTACCAAGTTATTTTAAATTTCAGGATGAAATTTTATTTAACGGGGATAGATTGTGACAAACCGTCCCGAATTTTATAGATCAAAAGGGTAAATTGGGAATTTTACTTTGGTTTTGAGATTTTTGTTCAAATGTTTATTTTGGGTTTGCTTTTGGGATTGGTTGGTGTGCCCAAGGGGGCCCACCTTTGATTCTTGTTCCCTGGCCCAAATCCCTCACCTCTTATTGTTCTCTCTTTCCTTCTCCTTCTCCATGTGTCTTTCATAATCCTCTATCCCCTTGTTTCTCTTTTCTATCTCTCGAAGCTTCCCTCCCTAAAACACACACACATACACATCCATACACACTTACATAGATGCACAAAGTCGCCATCTCAGCGGAGGAAGGAACGGATACTAGCCTTTGAACCCGTAAACTCGGGGAACAACAACTCCCTCCTCCGGTGAACCCTTAACCTTGGTAAGCTTCGGGACTCTCTCTAATCTTCCTTAGATCGATCAACTTTAGTTAGGACTCAGGCACTTTAAGGGCTTCATTTTGGTAGTTTTTACGATGTTCTTTAGTGGAGATTCAATCTCCATCGGAGCTTGGGAATTCCGGCTGAAATCTGACCTTCTTCCCCGGCGAGAAGCGGGCTTCCAAGTCGAAGGCCAGTCGACCAAACCCAGGGCCTCGGCCCATTAAGCTTTAAACCCAACCCAAACCCTTTTTATTTTATTTATTTGTCTTCTTTTAAAAACCCAAAAATGATTGGGCCAAGCTTCAAGCCCAGCCCATTTGAAAACCCTTAAGAACCCAAACCAGGGCCCAGGCCCGGTTATTTAACCCAGCCACCCTTAGGACCCTAAACCCAGGCCTTGGGCCAAGGAAACCGGCCCATCCTTTTGGTCCAGCCTTTCGGCCCAAACCCATCAGCCCAAATCTAGTTGGAATATTCCAAGAAATATTCTCATAATATTCTGAGGAATATTCCTAGAATATTGTCTGGAATATTCCTGTGTTGATTTTTGTTGACTTTTTCGAAATTTACCTGGGGCCCTTCTTAAGGTAATTCGACGTCTTGAATTCGTTTTTGAAGTCCATTTTCCCAAATTCAATCATTTTAATA